AAACGAAATTTGATACATAGGCACTTGGGATAAAGGAAAATCAAACGCCAGTTTCAAAATCTGGTTTTGCGCATGCGCAGTGCCAACTTTTTTATTTATGGAAGAATTTAAACGAAATTTGATACATAGGCACTTGGGATAAAGGAAAATCAAACTCCAGTTTCAAAATTTGGCTTTGAGCATGCGCAGTGCCAACTTTCTTATTTATGGAGATATTTGGAATGAATTAGAATACATAGCCACTTGGAATAAAAGCAAATGCAACGCCAGCTTCCAAATTTGGTTTTGTGCATGATGTGCAGTGCCAACCTAGGTGCCCACTTTCTTATTTATGGAAGCAATCAAATGAAATTTCATACAAATACGCTTTAAATAAAGGCAAAACTAACACCAGGTTCAGAATTTGGTTTTGCACATGCTATAGCCATACCCAGGAGCTCGTTTTCTATATTTGTTTACACGTTTATTATATTATTCACATTAAATTTAAGATCGTATGACCCCTGGTATGACCTATTGACAATTATTGAAAATTATGAACAACACTAACTGCTCTTTTTTTGGCAACAGTGCTACTAAATTAATTCTATAGTAAACATTTGTACGCGTCTAAATATCTATGAATAGGGATTATTTGTTATTATCATGACGTATTATTTACAATTTCCGCTTGTTCGTATGTGCTCTTTTGATAACAGCCTGACAAATATTTGCGTGGCCGGAGTAAACTTCGCGATGGTAGTTCATCAAAAACAATAACTTTTCCACGATATTTTCTGTAAACAGATATGAAAGGCAATTATGAAATTGGTAAGCAGCCAAGCGATTGTTCAGATACAAAATCGTTTAATCCGGTAGTTTATCGGCAGCGCGTGTTGGACGTTCAGCGCGTCCAATAATAACCGTGTTCTCTGTGCTGCAAAACTTGTTAAAGTGAACAAATATTGAGCAGTAAGTGTATACCAAAAGTCTTAGCACGTCATTTTTCATTTTGCATTAGTTTTGGCACGTGTACGAAATATATGAGGTCTTAAATTAGAGCAAACAGTAACACGCCGCGTGTTCTACGATAATGCTAAAAGTGTGAAACAACAATGCATGCACTGGCCATATAGAATATTTTATCTTTATC